ACATGTGCCCTTATTCTGGTAGCACCCTTAGTGTTTTACGGTTTTTGGTTCCGGGCTATGAACCGACTCGAAAGCTCGGCAGAAGAGTTTCTTCACGGACCAGAAACTTCCCGAAGCTGAACCCTTTCCGCGCAGCGCTCTCGACTTTAAGGGCTTAAGCTTGCTGATGTAGATATATTCTAGCATGTCTACAAACAGAACACAGGTCGATAATATCGTATGGCATAGCGTATACTGCATTACAGTATAGGATAATTTGTTGTAGTATATATAGTACAAGAGAATAGCACAGAATGATGGAATCATCGTCAGGCCTCAAGATGCTGGGATGACCAAGCTTGCGACTGCGTGCAGCATGCATTCTCTCAGATAGGAGCCCGGGCGCAGGGCGCTGATTTGGTTTAGGCCTTAGGGTTTAGGGGCTATAATGCACCGCCTTACAGCAAAAGTAAGGTCTTCCTCAGGGCAAGTCACATTTCAATGTCGAGTTTCTTGCTACAGTTACTACCAGTATTCTGTTCGTGCGTTCTGGCATAATGCAGAGCGTGATCGCAGACTGTAGGGTCCTGCGGTATCCATAACCCATATGTGCATGTCATATCATGGGGTTGCATAAGCTCTCGACACAGATCGCGGTTGCAGCATGCGGAATCACAGAGCACCAACTCCAACACGTAAATCCTGAACCCTGCAACTTAGAGCCTAAACCAGACTCGACCTGCTACGCCGCCACCCAGATTCCTAAGCCTAATATAGGGCCTTACTAATTACCTATACTATTTTGCGGGTTCCTTATTATAATTGTAGTATAATGGGCCCCAAAACCCTATTCTAATGATTAAGGCCCCTCCCCCATAGTAAGCCTTCTAGAACTGTCGAGGCAGATGCTCGAGTCCAAGCACGTTCCGAGGTGCAGCTCCGCCATGCTCAGCCTGCCTGTGAAATAGTATAAGACTTTGGTTAGTAGGGAATGTAAGAGTGGTAAGTAGTAATAGTGGTTATAATCGTACCCCATTCCTCCATTCCCTACCAACCAAAGGTAAGAAGAAGGCACTTGCGGGATATTTTGTGATTTAGGGGTCCGGGTCATGAGACACCATCATGCTCTTTCACTAATGCGACTTGAACTCTTGTGAATGTTTGTGGCTCTTCTCTACAGACAGATTGCTGAGACAGATCAATGAAGATGAATGTGAAGAATGCATGGAAACCCATTTAAGACCCATCCCGGCACAGCCGAAGTTCGGAAAGCATGTCGTTGTCGTTGATAGCGAGATGCTCCGTTGCTCGACCCTCGTCGCTGTAATTAGAGGACTTCAGGACTAGTTTAAGCCCAGTTTAAGAACCCTCCCGAGTAACCGCTGCTCGTAGTGGCTACTGGTGTTGAAGATGTCGCAAGGTAATTCTACCCAGGCCCTATAAGCCCTGAACCCAAACAGCCCCGGGTATGTGGATCCGGAGAAAACCCGAAGCCCTACACTCACGGAACCAGAAAGCCGAAACCCTAATCCGTTCTTCTCCTCAGCGTTTGAGTAGCCTTTGTGAAGTTAAAGACACTTCAGCAACATGCCGATCACCGTGGAAGTTGGGCTGCTCAGCGGCAAGACCGCTACCGTGCAAGCAAGCTTCGATGAGGATGTTGGAACACTGAAGCATCGGGCACAGACCGCACTCGAAGTCGGAAAGGGGCAGCTGGTGGACTCCTCTGGCAGCGTTCTGGATGCATCTGCACTAGTCAAGGATTCCAACTTGCAGAACGGCGACTCATTGACCCTGCACATCGGCCGAGTTCGGGCGTGCGGCGCTTCCAACGCTTTAGCCGCCGTTCTTGGCGATGGGTCTGTCGTGACATGGGGAGATAGTCACTATGGAGGTGACAGCAGCAGGGTGCAGGATCAGCTCAAGAACGTAGAAGAAATCCAAGCCACTCGGGTCGCTTTTGCGGCCATTCTTGTCGATGGATCGGTCGTGACCTGGGGCAGCCCTGACCATGGTGGTGACAGCAGTGCTGTGCAGGATCAGCTGAAGAATGTGCAGCAGATCCAAGCCTCGCACGATGCATTCGCTGCCATTCGTGTTGATGGATCCGTCGTGACCTGGGGTCGAGCTTCGTCTGGCGGTGACAGTAGCGCTGTGCAGGATCAGCTAAGAACTGTGCAGGGCGTCCAAGCCACGGGCGGTTCTTTTGCCGCGCTTCTTGGTGATGGGTCCGTCGTGACCTGGGGTGATGCTGAGAGTGGTGGTGACAGGAGTTCTGTGCAGCACCAGTTGGTACATGTGCAACAGGTTCAGGGCACTTACCGTGCTTTCGCCGCCGTTCTTCTTGATGGCTCCGTCGTGACATGGGGTGGTGCCCACTTTGGTGGCGACAGTAGTGCTGTGCAGGATCAGCTCAAAGATGTGCAGCAGATCCGAGGAGTTTTCGCGTCTTTTGCTGCCCTTCTCGGTGATGGATCCGTGGTGAGCTGGGGTCATACGGGCAGTGGTGGTGACAGTAGTGCGGTGAAGGATCAGCTGAAGACTGTGCGGCAGATCCAGCCCAATGTTGGCGCTTTTGCTGCTATTCTTGGCAACGGATCCGTTGTCACCTGGGGTGATGCTCAGAGTGGCGGCGACAGCAGTGCTGTGCAGGATCAGCTGAATAATGTGCAGCAGATCCAAGCCTCGCACGATGCATTCGCTGCCATTCTTGTTGATGGATCCGTCGTGACCTGGGGTCGAGCTTCGTCTGGCGGTGACAGCAGTGCTGTGCAGGATCAGCTGAAGAATGTGCAGCAGATACAGGCCGCTGATGCTGCTTTTGCTGCTATTCTTGGCGACGGAAGTGTGGTCACCTGGGGTGATTCCCACTGCGGTGGTGACAGCAGCCGTGTGCAGCATCAGCTGCAGCACGTCTGACCGATCAGCCCGTGTTTCTCAGCTTCACATCTTGCTGCTGGCATCTTCACGACGACATCCTTCGCGTGATTGCAGTGCTATCGCGTGCAGGGGACCGGTCAGCCTCGCGGCGGTCAGCCCTGCCGCCGCGAGGAGGTCGGCTGCAAATGCCACGGCAGCCCTAACTTTCAGCATTGCGAAACGTGGAGGGAACCGGCATCATTTGACTTTTTTACCCTTCAGATTGAAACGTCCCGAACTGTTTCAGAAGTTGAGGACACGGAATCCCACAAGCCCAGCACTGTTTCAAGCCTAGCCCTATGCAAATCGAAACCGCCCGGCATCTTGTGCTCCTTCCCCCACAGAGCCGCTGGACCTGTATAAGCCCCAGAACGGCCCCAAACTTTCCCAGAGTTTGGTTCTAGCATCTTCTAAGACACTATGGCGAGGTGGATAGATGGCAGACTGCTTTTGCTGGGCTTGTCCGCCTCCTTCCTGGCATCTGGCCCGAGCAAGCGAGTGTTTCGAGTGGAGGATTCGGGTGTTGAACTGGTCGGCTGGGGATTTAGGCTGCGAAAAGTCTGGCACTCACATCGTTGAAGGCTGATAGTGTTAAGGGGGTTGCTGCGCGCCCTTGTGGCTGACAGGATCTTGTGGCAATGTCTCCATAAGCCCACAGGATGAACATCCTTCGACGACACGTGCCGGATTCTGCGCCAAGTTTTATCTCTTGCTGAGGCATCCATCCTGCTGCTGCCGTTCTTGCCTTCTCTGCACCTTGGGCAGCACGTTAATGTCATAGAGTTTTGGCAGTTTTGGGCATGGCAAGAGTTCGCGGGCTGAGCTTGAGCCCCAGAACTTGTAGCAATGCATATGACTGTGGCCTGCAGCAATCACCGCAAGAACAATGGAAAAGGTTCCCGATGATTGTCCTCACCTGTGGCCCACTCATGCGACTCGGATGCAACGATACTCGAGCACGCTGCTTCCAGCGGGGTGAGTCAGTTGAGTCCATGTCTTCTGTATGAAGATCTCAAGCTTGTGCAGTTGCAGCTGTTCAGGCTGCTTGCCTTCGTCATTGGCACTGTGCAGCTGCATTCTCAGACGGATAGCGCCAGAACGTTGGTGTGGGAATGCCGATGCTAACAGCCAGAGGCTACTGCTTTGCTGAAGGTTCCGTGTATTTGGGCCATTGACGCTGCAGCCGACGCTCACTTGCAACGAGCAGCATTTGTTGATCGGCAGCGATGCCCATTTTGAGGCAGACATGCCACCCTCCAACGAAACGAGCTAGTGTGGCACTGGGTTTCTCCCCGATACAGGCGGGGTGTGTGGCGCGGGGGACCCTGCACCCTGCGCCACTGGGTTCCAGGTCGTCTGAGGCCGCAGCTTATCCTCTCCTGAACTGCACTTGCCATTGCCAGTAAAGAGGACGCCTCCTGAATTCGCACCGGCCCAAGCGAAGACTTGGTAGCATATTATACCTGAATGTGGGATGCATGGGATGGATGACCGGATGGATGCAGTGGTGAAACAGGTACATGTATGTGTGTAGGTAAGCAGGTATGTTATGTTATGTATGTGTACATACATACATACATACCTACACAAATACATACTCGGCGATTCTAGTGCTCGGTGGTTCCACTGCATGTGCATTGTACGTGCAATTGAATCTCGTTCCTCCAAACTTTTCGCTCGCCCCGGCTAACTCCTGACCCTCATTTGCTGCAACAACTACCCGAACACCCCGAAGCCCCGAACATGTAAATCCGCCCTGCCATTTCGAGCATCTTGAAATCCGCTCAACAAAGGATCTTGGGGTGGTTGCAATACGACCGAGGCCACTGGCCGGTGACCCAGTTCCATTGCGTATGTACTCGAAGCTGCGTAGTAATGTTGATACAATCTGAAGGCAAGGGTCATACTTGTGATTATGACCCTTATTTCAAGCATGATGTCATTACGACGTGTTCATCGGTTGCCACATTTTATTTTTACATCAAGGTCGGGTCAGGTTTCTGAGAAGTTCGGCCATGCCCTGACACCCCAAGTCCTACATCCGCGAGCCCTATACAAGCCTACCTACTAAAGCCGTAGAGCCCATTGTAAGGGACACCCTCATGGTCGTTCTGAGCGCCGTCAGCTGCATCACCCTGCCCTTCCTGGGCGAGATCAGCTTGCTCCTGAGTATTGCTGAGGTTGTGTGGGGCCCATGAACAAATCTTGGACCAGATTCCACCCATTAACCCTGACCATGTTTCCAAAATAGTCGGACTCTATAGTATCGCACGGAATCCATCATAAGTCGTGGATGACGAGCCTTCCAAATGCGACATGTCCTGCGAAGAAGCAGACCGTGCTGAGAATCTGTCTGGCACTTCTACTACGTGCGGTGCCTTCGGCAGAACTTCTTCTCCCACGGGCAGGCTCATAGGGCACTGCAGGGTTTCAAGTTGTGGTGCCGCGTGCAGGGATCCTGCTCTTTTTTGCTGCCTGCTTTGCCCCCGTCCGCATCTAACTGGAACTGAACGACTGCAAGGCGGATATGAGGGTTGCGTTGCCATGTTCAAGTGATCTTGGAGGCTTGGAATAATATAGGGGCCTTAACCATTAAAATAGGGTTTGGGGTATATTGATGCCCCTACATCAATATACCCCAAAGCCTTCTCCTTTCACGCGACCAAACCGCCATGAAATGAAAGGGAGACCATGAGGACAAACCCAAAACTCCTGGATAGAAAGAAGTTTCCGAAGCCCCATGAACGCTCCGGGAAGAGCTGTGATACTCTCTAGAAGCCTGAATTACCAATGGCAGGGTTCCTGAGTATACTTGTAGTCTAATCTAATCTACCTCAAAGCCTTAATCTAATTATGAAGGCCCTTAAACCTATAGGAACCCTTCAAAAACGGGACCCCTTATATGAAGCCCTATTCTAATTGTGAAGGCTCCTGTGTTGCGGCACGCCCGAACTCTAAACCCGTAAACCTTAAACCCCCAAACGCTAAACCCCTAAACCCTTAAACCAGTAAACCTTTAACCCCCCTAACCCCCTAAGCTCCTAAGCCCAAAACCCAAACTTCCCAGAGGACCGGACGATGCTGGAGCTCAGGCTCGATCCTTGGTGTGCTGACCTCAGGCCTAGCAAAGGGGCCTCCACAATTACCAATGCTATTTGGCGGGCTCCATCTATTTATGGTATGATGGGCCCCAAAACCCTATTCTAATTATTATGGCTGCTATAAATGGAATAGGATTCCTAATAGGGATACTAGAAGGGATTATGGGGGCCTAGATACTTGGAATAGGGTTCCTGTAAGAGGGATAATAGAAGGGATTATGGGGGCCCTACTTGGGATAGGGTTCCTGTAAGAGGGATACTAGAAGGGATTATGGGGGTTTGATACTTGGAATAGGGTTCCTATAACGGATACTAGAAGCTAGAGGGCTAGGAAAAGGGGACTAGGGTTTAGAAGGATGGAGGGGTTACGATTTGGGGGTTAGGGGTTGGGGTTTAGGGGGGTTCCTTCAATGGGTTCCTAAAAGAGGTACTATAGAAGGAGATTATGGGATTTATGGCGTTTGACGCAGGGGCCTTCACACTTAGAACAGTGTTTTTTTCTGGGCGAAGGCAGATAGCAGAAGCCAAAAGTAGCAACTTCCATTAATATCTGCAAGCATCTTTCAGAGCTGGCACAAGGCATAGTCTGTGTGCCTTAGGTCCTTTCATGCTGGTCACGGGCACAGTGAATGACTGGGGTCGCCCCATCGACGATAGCAGCTTTGCTGGCATGTTTCCTCTAGTGTGCACACTGCGTGAGTTTGCTATGTTAGTAGTCGAAATCGAAGCGCATGTAGCAGGGCCAGGGCTGGCCAGCCGCGACAAGCTTTGTAACAAGAGCTGGCTTTTGCGGGACAGGTCCAATTTTTCAGATGTGGGCACGACAAAGGTTTGTGACGAAGCTGGTGCGACAATGACAAGGGTTTGTAACAGAGAGGCGGCCCTACAATGAGCTTTCGAGCCATCCTGCATATCATGTACTCATGAACTCATCATGTGGGCGTGGCAGGCATCACCGAGATTGCGTTCACCCCTCTCCACATGGGGAATCCTGAAGCAGGTTACGCCTGGCCGCCCAGATTCTTCCGTGCTGACTTTTTGGGACTAACTGTATCTTCGAGGTTCCGTTCAATCGTTAAAGTAGGTGCAACCGAGGTCGTGACAGCTCCAACGAGGACACGCTGGCGTGCGATTTTCTCTTGTCCAGTGGTTTGTGGACGGACCGGGTCCCACAACCTACTACTTGTTGTACTAGTACGAAAGTACTACTTCCAGTACGACTACTACCGCCATGACAACTCCTCCTGCGCCTCCTGCTTCTAACACTACTATCACTACTACTACTACTACTACTACTACTACTACTACTACTACTACTACTACTACTACTACCACTGCTACTGCTGCTACTGCTGCTACTACTGCTACTGCTACTACTACGACCACCACCACCACGACTACTACTACTACTACTCCTCCTCCTGCTGCTGCTGCTGTGCCTACTATTATTACTATTATTGTTATTACTACTATTGCTGCTACTACTACTACTACTACTACTACGACTACTATCCTACCTACTACTAACTACTACTTACAGCAGCCATCCTTTCAGAAGACCTAAGATCCGGCATCCTTCGAGCCTTTTATTCACATCTGGGGCGTCGGCGGCACACTTGTATTGTGGGGGATCGCAGCTGCGATCCTCCGAGGTATTACGAGAGCCTCAACCCCCAATTTCTCCGCTGCATCTTGCCGAACTTAACCTCTTTCTCCTGAACCCGAAAGCATTCAGATCTACCAGAGGAGTCTGGCCGAGCTGACTGCCTTGACCGGGGCAGGCACCAGGGTTCGATTGGTTGGGTCTCGTGAGGTTTGACGTTGGCGGGTTTGGAGTTTTGGGTATAGGGATACCGGACGGTTCCTTTTTCATAATTATTGCATAAGGGGCCCCAAAACCCTATTCTAATTTTTCAGGCCCTTATATTAACCTCATTTAACCCTTCAAAAACAGTTTGGGGATTTGGGGTGTGGGGTTTAGGAAGCACCCTGACTCCCTCAGATACTCCCTTCCTGGGCCTAGGCTGCCTGGATGCGCTGAGCCGGAACCACAAGGGGCTTTAATGCTTGAATGGGGGTTAGACCGTATAAAGACCCCTAACAGAGGAGCCTAAATGACAATTACCGGTACTGTTTTGGTGGTTCCTGAGTATATTTTTAGCATCATGGGCCCCAAAACCCACTTTCCAACTATGAAGGCCCCTTTTTGTTACCTCTCAACCCGCAGAGCCCCCAAAACTTCGGCCTGCGTCCTGACTAGTCTGATTCCTTATGAGCTCGAGCTCGCTTCTGACATTTTCCCAGGAACCAGGGCATGTCTGATGCCAGAATATCATATCAAATTGTCATCCCTGAACCCTTACAGTAACCGTTCGACTCGAGTATCCCTTGTAGCCTTTTTGGTGACCCTTGCAGGATTACTTCTACTTCAAAGAAACCTAAACTCTCATAGTCCTTTTCATAAAGCAGAGCACTCGTCAAAGACTAGGCCGAAACCGTAAACCCTAAACGCTAACCTGTATAGAAGCCCTGACCCAGCTACAAAGTCCAAAACAATCACTTTAAACCCTAACCCTTACAGAAACCCAAAGCCCTCGTCTTATCAAATTACTCATATATTGTGATATTTTATAACATGTTAGATTAGACCGTGTATATATATATATATACCTGTGTATATATATATATATATATATTACATGGTATCATATTGAAACTGTGTTATAGACCGAGGCCTGAGCATGTCTGATCATGTGCGGGTGCGCTTCTGGCTACAGGCCTGGGCTCTGGTGTTTTCAGGGTTTAGGGTTTAGGGCCTTAGGGTTTAGGGTTTAGGGGTTTAGGGGTTTAGGGGTTTAGGGTTTAGGGGTTTAGGGGTTTAGGGTTTAGGGCCTGAGAAAGGGTGTGGGGTTTGGGGAGTTCGGGGTTTCAACGTGTTGGGGCAATAGAAGGGTTCTCTTTCAGGGTTCGTCACATTGGTAGAAGGGTTCCTTCGATGGCTTCTATAAGGTGAAGTATTCTGGTTAAGTATGGTAACAAAAAAGGGTTGCTAGGTGGTTTTGGTGCACCTAGGCTTAATGGTTTTTGGGTGTGTCTTTTCCCGCCCGTCTGGAAAGTCTCGTTCTCTTGCGGGGTGGCCACGAGTCCTGCTGAACGGTCCAAGAATTTGAAAGCCTACAGCCCCACCTGATACTGTACTGGCTTCTGCTTGCCCTGAACCCAAAACCCAAAACCGAAATTGAACCCAACGCCTTTGAATGCCCTTTGCTTGCTGGCAGGTTCTGAACCTTTCTTGGGGAGACTACATCCACTTCGAGCCGTCCAGGAGGCCGCTGATGAGGTGCCACCGCCACCGCGAGGGACGATTTTGGGGTTCAGGGATTTTGGGGTTTAGGGTATGGGGGTTTAAGTAAGAGTCTAGGGTTTGGGGGTTCAGGGGTTTGGGAGTTTGGCAGTGCAGGGTACGGCGGTTTAGGAGTCTAGGGTCTGGGGTTTGGGGGTTTAGGCTTTGCCGTTTAGGGGTTTGCAGTTTGGGACTCGGGGCCGCTCAAAGCAAAGAATCCTGAGGTGAGGTGGCCGACATGTGTGGGCACACCTTTTAGGGCTCCGCAGACAAGACTTGCCAAAGGTGGCTGCTTCGCTGTGTGCCGAAGAGATGCCGGAGGTCGGATCCGGAGAAACGGCCACACACACATATATATATATATATATATAATGTGTTTATGTAGTTACTATGGTGGTGTGTATTTCTCTGCAAAATTCAAAGTACATTGTCATGAAGCCATACAGAAACTCACCCTACACGCCAAGCCCTAAGCCCATAAGCCAAGCCTGGCTTTCGAGAGACTGCTGTTGATCGCTTTTTTGTTCTGAGACCTGTAGAGCCGCCTACCTGGCCGCAGGCCCCTTTGGCTTCTTTTAGGGTTTTAGGGTCGAGGCTCTTCCCCTGCATAGTTCATGTGTTTTCCACCGCAGATCGCACAAACGCCAGGGACTTCAGCTGGTGGTTTCACCGATCCTTCACGTGGGCCTGACATGTTGGATGTGCTTGCGATCCCAGTGGCGCTGTGGTGCCTTGTGTGACCTTCGGCTCCTTGCGACTGCTGCTCCGGTGATCTCGGATAGTTTCTGCAATGCGAGGGAGTCAGCCCCTTACCACTTCCTTTCCAGCGCACCGGAACAGCTTTGAAGGCACGATGCTGAAGAATCAGCAGCTCCGATTTTTTGGCTGAGAGTTTCATACGGAAGCGCGCACCCAACGCCCGAACTTCTAAGCCCTGACGGCTTGACTAGTTTTGGAAGCCATTTGGCAGGATGTTCTTGCTCTTCGTCATGGCCTGCCTGTTCTGCCGTGGCTTGACCATGTACCGCTTGCCCCGGTTCCCGACAGAGGCGTTGTCAATTGGGGAAGCAGGAGTTTGGGATTTCGGGTCAGAATACCTCCAAACGAAAGTGTTCAGTCAGGTTCGGCAACCGACAGGGAGCGCGATGTTAAGCCTTGAACTTGATCTTGTGCGCAGCTGGGAGCAGGCGACCTGCATGGAGGGCCGGAGGCTGATGAATGGCCGGAGACCTGGTTTGGCCCAGCATTGTGGCACACAACGCAGTGACGAGCCCTGTTCTGCACAGATCCAGATCTGTACCATGGCCCATGCTCAAGTGGCGTAAGGTGCAAGGTGCCATATAGACTTGTATGGCACCCGTACTAGAATCTAGATCTAGATAAACATAGAAGATCCGAGCAACTTCACAGAAAATGAAAGGAGGGCAAGTTTATGATTGCCTACAGCTGAGTAGCAGCGCAGTCATGCGATGTCTGCACAGAGTAGTTTGCGACTGTTATGCTGTGCAACTTTCGAGCCATGAGCTTCTCTAAAACTTACTGGATATGCTTGCCAAAAATTTCGCATCATGATCCCAGTTAGCAGATCGAAGAATCCAGACGTGTCCTCGTCTTGAGAAGACCTGCAAAGTGTTGATCTCTGGTTTCAGTCTTCGGGCAGTGACGGTTTAAGCTTCCCTAAACCCCAAACTCCTAAACCTTAAACCCTAAGCCCCTAAACCCCTAAACCCTTAAACCCTAAACCTTAAACCCTAAACCCTTAAACCCTGAACCCTCTGAGGTGCCACCTTTCTCGGTCTTTGCCTGCTGACCCTGAGCTTCTTCTCGAACTTCAGGCTGCGTCTCTTTGAGCCATATCCTAGTAGAGTGGGTCTTTGGGGGGGGGGTTCATGTTTGGAATCCTAGAAGGTAATTCCAAGAAGGAACTACTTTGAGGGCCTATGGGTACCCTTAAAGAAATAGGGTACTATACTCCCTATCTAATCCTAGTATACCCCCAAAGGCTAACCCCCCAGGATACTGGACAAGTAGGATGTGGTGTTGCGGTAAAAGAGCAGATCGGCCATCATGATATTCCTGCAATACAGCTTTCACAGTCACAAGCAGGTCTAGTGGATTGAGAGTATAGGCGGGCTTGTCATTCAACAAACTCTGTCCCCCAACGTATGCGTGGCGGTGGTGGTGTTTTCATGATCCTGCATTCGTTGGACAGGCCTTCCACATTCAGCCTCGACTCTTGTTTGGTCATCATAGCAACGCAAACGCAACGGCAAGCATAGCCCTTGTCGTTGTTCCCAGTGTACACATGTGTGGCGTGATGATGACAAGCATGGCAGGCTGAGATCTCTCCAGGTTTCGGTTTATTCATGCTCGGTGCTTCGTTTTCCTGCAGACCTTCAAAACTCAGACTCCCCCCACAGGCGTTGGTGGTAAGATTGGAGCAGCTGTTCTTGAACAAGCTTGTAGCCATCTCTCCCTCCATTACGTACCAATACAGATTTGAATTGGTCGTGGCACTCGGCTCGCCCACTGTCCTAGAGTCCTGGAGCCCAACGGTCCGGGCCAGGTTTCTGGCGGGACTGGAGTTCGCACCGGTGCTTGCCACCATTCAGCAGGCGAAGCATGGGGGCGTGCATTTCAATGCGGCCTGCGCCGACTGGAAGGCCCCATAAGAGGCCCGATAGTCGCTAAGGTCAACATCTTACATATTACGTATACCCAACACCACCTGACTCGATCCCTATGCTCACTGTATCAGGGTGAAGACAAAGCTTCCGCTGGGGCTGCAGGTCTCTACTGTTTGGTTCTCCAACAAGATATCAGTTACCTGAAAGTACGACTTGACCCGTGTGGGCTTGGTATATATGTCTCGGCTCAAAAACTCTTACCTACTGACCACATGCCTCTAATCCCACAGCTGTGTAACAGGCCACCGGCTTCATCCACAAGTCCTGGTATCCACCGCGGATGTCGGGATCTTTGTGAGACTAGACGAGGTGCAGAAAGACATCAGTGGACGATTCACACTATCCGACGATGAGTGTGTTGCCGCAGCGAAAGCTTCCAACCAGCCGACTCCGTTCGAGGTTCCTAGACACTACGTGCGAGAATTAATGCTACAAGTACCCCAAAATCTACACTTCATTGCAAAGTCCGGCTCCACTCCCAGGCTCTACGTGACGGATGGTGGTGTTCAGGCCGCGAGAAAAGCTCCGGTTCGGCTACGCTTTAACAGGTCCAACTCCTTTAGGGCCAGGTTCAAACTAGTGTTTTTCCATGCAGTTATAGCCCCCTCGTTAAGTAGAAAACGCAAGGTCTGGAGATGAGCTGTCCTCGAAGAAACCGTGCCTTACCTTGGCATCGTAATTCTCCTGCTGTTGGCGCCGGAAGTTGCTAGTTACTCCCAGCCACTGAAATGTGGAACAACTGTGCTCGACGAACCCCTGCTAGGATTGCACCGCGATCATGCAGCTGCTGCAGAGGCACGCGCGAGCTGTAGGAATGCAGTAACGTTTTGAACCTTTCAGTTGCAGCATGTTGCAGCAATGCGACTATCGATTTGAATCTCCATATTCACATGGTAGGCTGGGACTGGACGCCTGCAGCATAAGAATCAAATGTCGTGTTGTCCATCAGCATGTTGCATGTACATGCCAAGGCCAAGGCCTTACGGCTTTACCAATATTTTCTGAAGCTCTTGCCTAACCTGGAACGCGCCTGAAAATCTCGAAGCCCGCTAAACCAAAAGCGCAAGTTTTTGAACCGAAAGCCAACAGCCCCGCGCACTGTCGGGCAAGGAAGTGTGAGCGCATACTCCTGGTTCTTGCAGCGAGCCGCTCGGCCCGACAGAAGATCCGGAGCCCGGAGCATTCAGGGCTTCAACGATTCTTATCGAGTGGCCTGGTAGCACTCATGCGACAAGTGTTACATCCATACGTATGCTTGATGTCGACTGTTGCAAGCGACGATGCCACCCACCACCGCCACGACTGCTGTATCTACCACGACCACAACGACGACTAATACTACAACTGCTGCTGCTGCTTCTACTGCGTACTCCTGACTGCCCACTGCTTGCTGCTTACTGCCGATGCTCCTGATGCTCCTGCTGCTGCTGACTACGACTTCGACTCCTTCTACCATTGCTGCTACTACTACTACTACGACGACGACGACTACTACTACTACTGTTACTGCTACTACTACTACTACTACTACTACTACTACTACTACTGCTACTACTACTACTACTACTACTGCTGCTACTGCTACTGCTATTACTACGACTACGACTACGACGACGACTACTACTACTACTACTGCTACTACTACTACTAATAATAATAATACTACTACTACTCCCACTGCTACTACCACCACTACCACTACCAGTAGTACTCGTGCTGCGACCGCCGACGACGACGACTCCGACAATGTTACTGCTGGTGTTACACCTGCTACTACTGCTGCTGCTGCTGCTACATCGGCTGCTGCTACTACACTACGAAGGTTTGCCGACGACTAGTGATGACCGCGACGTTTTATGTTTCAGGTGATTCGAGTGCTCCGTAAACTAACGGTGACACTGGTTACGATGAACTCGGTGCTGATGATCCAGACGGTGCAGCAGCATCTTGTGGGCAATGCTCGTAGTGGGAGTGCCGACTACTAGTTGTGGTAGTCGTCCTTGTCTTTGCCCTCATTTTCGTCGAAGCAATAGCAGCAAGAGACAAACAAATGCCAGCAGCACAAAAGCAATCCTGTTGCTTCCGCTGGTTGTTGTGCTGGGCTTCATTCCTGCCTCAGTGTTCCGGCTTTCTCTGGCATTGAAGATGAGGGAGCTCAGAGTAGGGGCCTAAATAATTTCCTATACTATTTCGGGGGGCTCCTTATTATAATCATAGTATAATGGGGCCCAGTCTAATTATTAAGGCCCCTGTATTAGGGGCCTAATTTTGTTTTGCCAACGCTCGCTCTTCCGCCTCGCGGACGTCGGAGCTGTTATTGAACTAAGTTGAGCAATGCATGAAGAATGCCGACGTAGAAAATTGAAAGTTACTGATCCGTAAGGAAAAGGGCCCACAAAAGTTCGGGCCGATGCGTCCTTTTCCGCCCAACAAACCCACCGCAACGTCCCCGCCTAAGAACTCTCTGTGAATCTTAACCTTGGAGACCGTAGCTAGGTGTACACCCCAGGATTGCATAGCCTTAGGGACACACGTTGTTGAAAAATATAGGGGCCTAAATAATTACCAATACTATTTTCTGGGGGGGGGGGGGGGGGGTCTTTATTAAGATTATAGCATAATCGGCCCCGAAGCTCCATTCTAAAATTAAGGACCCTGCCTATGTTATCCATATGCCCAAACCGTGATGCAGGTGATCCCAACGATGAGCTAAAGGTGCTGCGCACCACGATGGAGGCGACTTTGACATGATGCTCTCCCATGGCGGCATGTAAGCTCCGGCTGTGAGAGTGGAGCACCTGTGCGCGCAAGCAGACGTAAATTATGCAGGCGCAGTGTAGCAAGAAGAAGAACAAGAAAAGAAATTGTTGGTTCCATCAGTCTCGTTTGCCGTTATTGTCGTCATCGTCAGGTTCGTCGTCGCATTGGGGCACTTGTGCTTGCTCGTAAAACAAATCACAGCTCCGGTTCTTGCACCAAGAAGCAGAGCTAGGGCAAGAAGTCTTTGTAGTCGCTGCTGTTGAAGTTGTTGCGGGGGGTGTTGGAGGAGCACAAGCGTGGTCTGGAGGATTTGGAGTAGACTCGACTAGCGGCAGTAGTCGTAGTTGTTCTCTTAGCAGCAGCAATAGTGACAGTAACAGTAATTAACAGCAACAGTCATAGTAACAGTAATAGTAGTAGTGATTAAGACCAGGCCGTGACGAAGGAGTTCAAGATGGCATCGTTTTACGATCCTGAGCCACGGCCCAAGGTTGTGAGATGATGAAATCCGTCGCCTGAATTCTCAACTGGCCAAATCCTCAACTCAACGCCTCAACAGGGAATCCAAAGCTGTGAACCATGCATCCTAAATCCGTCTGCCTAGCATGAAAAGCATTCTTGAAACTCCTGTGCGGATTTTCTTGGGCAGACTCGTGGGCTCGAGTGTGCGATGTGGGGCCGAGGCAACATTGCGTATACCCCACAACAGAGCGTGCACTTGACCTGAACCGCAAACCGGGCCAAAGCTTCGCAAGCCCCGTGAACAAGGGTCCTTCTTGGAGTGTTAATTTGTAAGTCCGGAACTAGACGGCAAGTGTAATTTATGTGCGGTCGTGTTCTGTTCCACTGCTTCGGTTTTTGTTTCAGGCGCATGTAGACAAACGGTTGAGGAATGCTAAGGGTACTTGAACCGTGGTAGAACTACGTGTCAATTTCCTCGAACTCCCATACGTAAGATGAAACATCCACGCGGACAGTAAACCCTATGTCTTGGATGTAGGCGGGAGCAATGGGGGAACACCCAACTCCAACACCGGTCGCTCCTTCTACTGAGAATAGCCGCTGCAGTTACCACTACGACTACGGCTATGGCCACCTCCATGACTTATGCAATTATAGTGCCCAGGGATCACCGGCGTGATCCTTACGCTCTTCTGGATGATTTCCAGCAGAACAAGGGGAAACACTACTTCAAGCCTCCCGCCTGCAAGCGGGGAGTCGTTGTTTTCTGCGGGCAACATAATAACAGATTTTGGTCTTCAAGAACAAGGCATATGCATGCAGTCTTGATACACATGTATTTATTCTAAAACTTTGACGTAATGTATGCGCACGGGGTCACCCAGGAGTTTAGGAACGCCATGGTACCCAGCTGTTTGACAGAAGTGGGGGTTTTGAAGGAGAGGGATCGGCATCCAAAGGACATCAGAAGCGCAAGACCTGCAATCGCCCAAGTGCTCACATTCACATAGCTTCGCAATCTGTTCTTCTGGAGTTCTGTGTACTGCCCTTCCCCATTCAGTTTGCAATGAATCCTGGACCGTTTGAGTTCGGATTTGGGTGCTTTCCATACACTACATCCTGCAGGACCGCCACCAGAATATCGAGCTAGATATCTGCAATCATGTAAGATGTCGAAGTGCGCAAAGCGTCCAATTCCCAAATCCTTAGACCCATATTCCAAGTTCTAGCCGCAATACTATTGATAACCCTACAGAACAAGCCATAACCACTAAACCCTAAACCCTGAACCTTCAAGTAAGGCTGGGCATCCGTTACGGCTTCCTGGCTGCACTGCCAAGTGTACACTTGCCAACGGTTATATAGGCCGACCTCCAGACAAGAAATTTACAGCTGAAGGTATGTTGTCTTTAGGTGTCGGGTAACATTCAGAACTTGCTATGGACAATCCTGGGATTCAAAGCCTCGACAGCTTCGCTGTAGATTGAATCCTAAAAAGTCTTAAATCCTGAGCCCTAAATCCATGGCTCGAAGCACCCATGTGCAGGTTGGCATGACACCGAGTCGCCACGCTACGGGACCCGCGCTGCGATCACTGTCACTGTCATGCTGTCACCACGATCAACTCTGTGTTTGTAGAGAGTGGAGGCGGTGCAGGCGACATGATGTCTTGCTGCCATGCGACGATTTTAGGAACCTGGACCCTACCAACCGCCCAATCTCACAGACATAAATGGAGCCGAGCCGTGTTTGGTCCGTGGACTTTGCGTAGACGTTAAGGTGCTACCAGTAGCGAGCCGTTGTAGATTGTGAGTAGTAAGGACTTGCGTATCTACATTCCTTACACCCTCACTGGCCCCAACTACGCAGAACCCTAGACCCAAAACGCGACCCCAAACCTTCATAGCCCATACCCTTAGAAGCCTGCACCCTTTGCATCCCGAAGATCCGAAAATCGCGAGGATGCTCTGGGTGGTGAAGAACCGGTTGCCAGAAGACTTTTTCGAGCAGCCGGCGGATCCCCCAGTGTTTCTTTCGGGTGGTTGTTACAAGTTACAAGTACTTATTAATAAGCAAACTGAAAACGAGTAGCATCACTAGTGGCGTTAAAAAGCGTAATAAATAATGAGACGTGCATTGCTAAGACTGATACTGATGATGAGACTAAAGCAAAAGTACTGATAACCCTAGCAATCATAGGAGTCCTTATTGTAGGTATTAAGGCCCCCTACCATCCTCCCCCTACCCCCGTAAGGGTCCTTATGAAGCAACAATACCTGACCGTTCTCAGTTAGCTCCTCGGGTTCCTTGGAGTAGAAGCCCGCATGGTGTAGTGTAGGAACCTGACTAAGAAACCCCGGCCCTTTAACCCAATATACGGGGATCCATATTAAGAACCTTAATAAGACCCGAGGTTTCTTAAATTTGAAACATTACCTCGAGGTCCGACCTCATCTCTCGGAGGACGAAATTCTGCCAGAGACCGAGTGAGGACAGGTTGGTGCAGACGAGTCTGTTGTGCAATGTCACGGCGAGAAGTCTATGCATTTCTTGACTCATGCAGCCGATGGCTCTGGAACAGCCTAACCGTGATTCGATTTTGTTCCAAACTGCAGCCAACGCTGCCAAATACAAGTGTGAGGCTTAACACACTGAGATGATCATACGAAGGTACGGCGCACCTTCGGACGTCAGCGATGAGGAAAACTCTTCCGACGATGCAGAGTTTCAGAAGGACTGACCAACAAGAGAGTTTTGGCCTGCGAGAATGTAGCAGAGCTTTAGAAGCTGTACCTGGTTAAATGGCAAGTTACGAGTTCTGACTATCAGAACTTCCAGATAAACATGTTCCATTCCATCCACTTCCCTATTGGATTTGTTGCCCCATATGGAGCTTTCGTGGTTTACTCCGTCTGGGGTTTGGGGGTTGAGGGTTTAGGATGGCTTACAGGGTTTGGGGTTTGGGAGGGTTTTGGGTCTAGGGAAGGTGGAATTGCAATCTGCTTCATACTTCCTGAGTGATTTCACGGTCCCACGTATGGCGTTGCGAGCTGACCTCAAATATCAGCTTAGATTTCTGCGGGCTTAAATCTGCAGTTGTTCATTCCAGGATGTTTCTTCCGTGCTGTCGGCAACATAGCGAAGTGTCATTCTGCTTGCATGGAAAAAGCCTGCTGTTGAATGGACCGACGTGCGAGGAGATGGGAGGCCTCGTGCAGGAGGATTTGGGTGGCTACGGCTGCTGCGATTGCTGTCACACCTGGTGATCCCGGCGGTATCTTCAAGTGGGGTCTGCGTCGGAGAAGAAGTTGCGGAAGTGGCTGCAGTGGGCTGTAATAGTTTCGGTGGTGAGCATAAGAGGATGACCTGCAGTTGCAGTTTCACTTGATAACCACAGGGGGTGGCAGACTGGCATGGCAGTGCACCTGCTGCAGTCGTCACTACCATCAGTCATCAGTAGGAGGAGTTGCAGCAGTCGCAGCGGTGGCCGTGGCAGTTACTGTAGCTGTGATAGCAAGAAGCAGCCGCAGCCGAAGCGGTGTTGTTTGGGGCAGGTACAGTGATGGTCGTGGTAAATATAATGGTAGCAGTTAGGACGGCCGCAGTGCTAAGAGTCGTTGCATAGCTGCAGCCAGTGGCAAAATTATTATTCCCGTTTCCTTCGCCATGCCAGGGGAAACTGCGGCCGCAAGTTTCCACACCTATCTTTTACAGGCCTGCCCGAAGCGAGTCAAGCTTCGCGAGGGGTTCAGAGTTGAGCATTACGGTTGATGATATAAATCCTACATTACCCATAATAAGGAATATGCCAGAATTCCCATAGTCTAGGACCAATAAGGTAACGCAGGATTTATATCATCAATCGTAGGTTATGAAATGTTACGAGCCGGTAAGCCTTGACCGAGGGTGTCAGCCTGCAGCTGGAGTGGGGATGACTGCTTCGACAATCAGCCTTCAGCCTGTCACGGCAGGGAGTTGGGTCTTTGTCCATTGTCCTGTTCCCTCGCTCTTAGCTTGGATGCGAACGCCGTCAAAGCTCGAGGTCTCGTGGAACAGAGTTTAGCACTGCTACCACTTGGAACTAATGCTGGCGCAACCTTGCTTCTACGGGGTCATCAGTTCCGGTAGTGCGAATGATTTGCAACTGTATTTGCTTATTGTTATTGTGGTCGTTAGCAGTGTTTAAGATAGCGGAAAGAACAGTGCGAGTGTGGGCACAGCAGCACAGACAGTTGTTGCGATCCCTGCAACCCTCTTGCAGGCTAGATCCCTGCAACCTCGCAGCAGGCTACATGTGGCTCACGCCACAGCTGACGAGCTCACTCGTTCGATTGGGTCATGACCTGTGATGGCCTCGATGGCAAGGCTCAGGCATAGGCCAGTAGAGCTCTGGATATGTATACACACCCATGCGTGTGGATCTTTCGAACTGACATGGAATTTCTGTGAGTTTCTCATCGTCAACATTGACAAAATGCACGTCGTGAAAGTAGGCACATGCAGTGCAAGGGCCTCTAAGCAAACGCAAAGTGATGGAAGGTGGTTTGAGAGTCTTCGTCATGCAACAGAGTGCTCTTGCTGAGAGAATGCACAGCGGCAGTAGAACTATGTTCGGCAGGTAGATAGACAGATATCTAGATGATCAGATGGGCAATTAGATAAGCACATAGGTAGGTTGTGTCACATACATGTGATATTGGTTGCTGATATCTATTGACAGTTGTTTGCACACACCGTCGTAATGTGTGCATACATATGTGCATATCTACATACAAACATCTATGTACATAATTACATATATATATATATATACATATAGTGTGTCTACCCTCCCACCCAAAACCGGCAGTACGGAGCTGTTAACGTCGTTCTGGTTCCATCCTAACACCGGCATACAAGAATCGGCATTAGCATTTATAACTAGTACCGTATCAGAATTGCTATAAGTACAAGTACTAGTATCAGTATTAGTACAAGTATCAGTAGTAGTGAAAGTCTTAGTACTTGTACAGGTATTTGTTCATGCAGTTGTTGTTGTATTGTAGCATCCTGCAGGCTTCAGTCACTGAAGCCTCGAGGATGTTACACAAGCTTGGTTGTGACAACCACTCAGAGAGTAGCTTTTGGGGGTGGGGGTTCGCTAGATCCATATCTATGTGCTCCAGGTTTACACATACGTGTCTATTTACATTACCATGGCATTGGGCCATATAGCGGCAGTGCACTGGCTTGGAATACCGTACTCGAGCGACCTGGCAGATGTTGATTTTCTGCGAAATGGCAAGGTCCGCGATGGCAATCTGGGACTTGCTGAGACATTAGCAGCGCACAAACAGTTTCGACGTCTTTTTGTTTCCGGAGGACGTGCTTGTCTCGACGTTCGTTACGATCGAACGGTGCGATACAATACTAACAGCCGCAAAGCTTGTGGCCCAATGTGGTCGACTTGGGTTCTGTAGATCCGAGGACAGTTGTGTGGAGATGTTGGTTGGCAGCAACAGCTAGGCAACTTTACATATTCCTGAGAGAAGCAGGCACATCAGCAGTTCTACTACTAACACCTACTGACAGCATATGTCGGCTCTTATTAGACACGCTTGTTACACGGTGGCCTATAACAACTATCAAGTGTTATTGTTGCTTGTCGTCGTAGCAGCCGTCGTCTCGTAGTTTGCATACAGCTACTGGAACTCCAATAGTAGAATGACTGTTGTTACAGTAGTAGTAGTCTTCGTCATCGTCGTCGTAGTGGTAGCCGTAGTCGGAGTTAGAGTTGTGGTGGCAGTAGCAGTAGCCGTCATGGCTTTGGAAGTGGTAGTACCAATATGGACAGTATGGTGCCACCAACGTGGTCCTCAGAAAGCTACAGGATTCGGCTCGAAAGATGCTAATGCGAGGTTGAATGAGCCAGTCCAGGAAACAAGGGGCTTTTGCAGTGTTGGGGTTGGTTCTTAGGGTGTACAGGTCTTTACCGGGCTGTAGGGTTTAGAGGTTAGGGCGCTTTCTGTGTCAGTTACAGTGTTTCAGTAGGTTTACGAGGGTTTAGGTACATTGTAGGGTTTGTGGGGTCATAAGGCAGCATTACGAAGAGTGTCCGAACAGGCTTTAGACAACAATTTTGTCAGACGGTGCGTGGTTTCGGTCCGTAATTCCGGAAAGCCACAACTTGCAAACCAACGGCTTCTACTATAGCGGCCTTATTAATATTTGCCTATACTATTTTGGGGGCTCCTTATCATAATTATAGTATAGTATACCCCAAAACCCTATTCTAACTATCAAGGCCCCCTACATTATACTTCCGTTATAAATCCCTTATAGCAGCCCTTCTAGACCCCTTTGAAGGAGCCCTATCCCGCGGGGTGCTTATGACCTCTCGGGAGAAGGTTTGAAGGCTTCCAGTGACGTCCACTGACTGGGGGAATCCTGATAGAGAGTATCTACCCTCAGGCCCCAAAGTAGTTCCTTTTGGGGGTTCAAATTTAGAATCCTATAAGGTAATCCCGAAAAGGAACTATTTTGGGGCCTATACTGTACAAATACCCCGGATGAGAGCACGTTTGGCGCTGCCGAATCAATAATATGTAAGCGCTTACCAGACTTACCATCAAGACTTGGCTGCTAGTTTGCCCAGGCGACCAGGGCACAATCTATACCGGACTGCGACACTTGTCTATTCGCACCACTGCTTTCAGTGACATGTTGTTTAAGGTGAGGAGCATGCAGATATAAAGCACTGTTGCGATGACTAGCACTCAACCGGACAAGTTCCACTACAGCTCTGGCTTTGTACGTATCATCCTCATCCTTCAGAACATACGTCACGCCCAGCTCGAGGCGCAGGGCATCCGTAACAGCTGCTGCTTCTTAATGCGGCTCCTGTCGGTTCGGTATTTCACGAGAGTCCCATGTTACAGGCAAACGCATAGTTGTAATGCCAGTGTGCTCGAGGTTGCCTGTGGCAGTTCTAGTTCGCGTGCCTGGCACCCATCTGTAGATGCGATCACCATTTCCACAAGCCATACTCTCATACTACTCATACTACTCATGCTATAGACCTTCTTGGACCTTCATAGAGCGCGACAATGGCGGGCGATCCCATTGATGCCTTCGACTACCCGGGGAGCGTTCCGACGATGCACCGGCAAAACAGCGTCGACTCCTCGAGTTCCGGCCAGCGGCTCAGAGTCCGAGGCGCTTTGTAACTATATATCTATATATATATATATATGTGTGTATATATATATATATTGTATTTATAGGTATGTGTATATATATATATAAGTATGTGTATGTGTGCATATATATACATATATATGTAGTATTTGGCGTATAGTAAGTAATATCTAGTTTGCAGAATGTATAGCGCTCACAGTCTATAACGTTTAGTTCCAAAGGTTAATTTGCCTAGCATAACATTTTTTATATGGTATATTCACTACGGTTTCTTTAGTGTACTAGATTATCCATAAAAACTCCAACAGCTAAACAGCTAAGTAAATATATGTACATATTGGTGTGCCTGTTGAAATGTATAAAATGACAAATGCATAGTGGTAATTTGCTGTTCTTGATAGTTTGTATATCATATAGTATGTCATGGATCACTCCTGGCGTTTTAGATCATGCTGCCTACAGCTCCATCCTCCGAACGACAGCCGAATCGCCAAAGCTACAGAACATACGTATGCATGTGCAGAAGTAGACATCCGTGAGTCTCTGTGTGTGTGTGTAAGTACTGATGTTAAGCCCGTTCGCTGAGCATGGCCCATCACCTGTCCCAAACCTCCAAACATGTTGGAAGTCAGGCGACTCTGGTCCAATGATGACACGAAGGCTGCTTCGTGATGCAAGTACATGTATGTGGTGCCGACGTCGCCATCTCCCGCATTCGGTTGCACGTAAATGTGTGAGGGTTGGGATGTTTTCTGCTCCAGAAGCCGTTTGGAAGCTCTCGTCCCACAGCTTCCCAGAAGCCCATGGGGTCGGTAGACGGTAGACTTCAACCAAAACTGGGGCTTGGGTTTTGTTTTCGGGGGGCGGTGGACCTTGCCGACTGCGCGCCGCTGCCTTTTCCCCAACGCCTGATCCCAAAGCCCGGCATCGAAGCTGTGCTGCATACCGGAGGACCTTCAATTTGACTTGAGCTCCTCACAATCCCACCGCCACGTCCTGGACGCTTGAAGCTCCGAATCCAGCCTTAAGCGTGGCGAATGCCAGGGATGCCGATGGCCATTTGGGCGTCGGGTCCTCAAACTTCCGCTTC